TATATATATATGACGATTACAACCAAAAATTCCAAATTTAGATTCCTCACTCCATGAGATCTGTTGCCACTGATTTTCAGGTCAGTTCTTGTGTAAATTGTATAATAACTTTCCTCAAGAATGACTTCTTGACAGCCACCTGTCCACTGAGACTGTTGTCTGAGGGGTCAGGTTCATCTTTCAAACTTCAATGAAACAATTGAGAATTGCTTCCAACATCCGTTTCTGCATTTTGTTCTTCAAGGATCAAAAGAAAAACTTCCCTGTGGTCACACGTGTGATAGGCCAATATCAGCCAAACAGTAAATCTTCAGGCGCTAGTGTTAAATCAGAATGTTTATTACCGAATTCATTGACCAGGTCAGAGCTAAAACCCTACTATCCTCAGTTAGCCTTTATTAGTAGCAAAACAAAAGATAAACATGTGACTCTGTGCCAAACAGCCTAATTAGTCAGCAATGATGGAGCATAAAGACTTATTGGTGCCCCGATCGTCAAAGATTTAAGCTCCCTTTTACAAAACATATGTATGCACAACATGGTCATGATCATTTCTTTGTTTTCCACTTTCAGGAGGTGACACAGGAAAGCGTGGCTGCCTATAGCAACTTGTCTTTTGAAGAGGTTGTGCAGGAACTCATCAAACAGAAAGAAGTGGTGAAAAAGAAAGATGCCCACATCAGGGAACTGGAGGATTACATTGATAACCTGCTGGTACGCGTCATGGAGGAGACGCCGAGTATTTTACGGACGCCCTATGAGCCAAAAAAGAAGGCGGGCAAACTTTCCAAAAAGTAGAAAAAATGACCCAGGATGAAAAGGTACTAATGAAGGTTTAGCAATAGCTCATGAATCGTTATCAGGTGTTAAAGTGAGTGGGAACAAATAGAACTGATCAATTATTGAGTTACTATTCAGTGGTTAGTTTTTCTAGGCTTTTTTATTTTTTTAATATGTAGGTCATACAGGTTTTGGTCTTGTTTTGCATTCTTATAATTCCGTGTTATAATTTTGCTCACGATTACTTCTTGGAGTGTATTCTTAGGTACTTAAACAGGAGACATTCAGCTTATTGAAGTCACATCAAATCTTTTCACACCAACTATGTTTAGCTGTACTGTACTTGTAAACCAACACAGGTCTGTTGCACACACAGTTGCCATCAGCTGCTGAGAAGCTCTTACAGTGCAAATGCTGCCAAATTCGTGTTTACCAGATGCTGTAGTCACAGTTATGTGCTGTTTGCTGAGAGATGGTCTACAGGTTTATAAGATGAAGCTGTAGGTACTGCGTTACAATCAAGTGCAAGTCCAAAACTTGCCACTTAAACTGAGGTGCACGTCACGGCATCAGCTTTTTGTCCCCACCCTGCCTCGTGGTGCAGATGTGGACACATTCAGCTTTAGTGATTGATGGATTTTCTTAGAAACACTGGAAGATGGTTGTAAGAATTTGCTGACAGTTCCTGGAAGCCTGGTTTGTCTCTAGCTTCCTGAGGTGTGCATTTTTTTTCTCCTCAAGAACAAATGCACATTCCTTTTATCAGTTACTGACATTTTATTTTTTACTCTTATTGTGATGACTATCATTTAATTTTCTTTGACCAAGGCTCTTAAAGTCCCCGGTTGGAGGTGATAATTTTTACTTTAAGTGCAATAATCATATTGAAGGTAATGCTTTATATTCTGCTGGTAATGGTCTTGTTTACATTTTAATCACATGTTGGAGTAAAACTCCTCTCTTTATGTTGATTTGATAAAAAAGCTTGGAGTTCTTTGTTACTGATTGAACAGCCTTCCTCTTTTTCATACTTTTTATTTTTGCTCAAGATTGTGTTAATGCTACCATCTGCACATGTGGGTATATGCTCAGTCATTTTTACGTATCCATTTTTTAAAGCTCATTTACAATGGGTTTGTAAGGTACCTGATGTTAAAAGCGACCCTGTATTCCCATACCCCCCTCCCACGACCTATCCTATTGTGAAAAAACTGTAACTAAAACAAAAATTCATGCATATATAATTCCTATTTTAGGCTCAAATTCACTATGTACTGTGTGTCTTACCACTTTATGGGGTGCTAATGAGAATTCACTAATAATTTTCAGGGTAAATAACCAGTGATTGCCATTTAAATAACATGTTAACCATGAGAAGCTAACTGTTCTCATTTCACTTTAAGGGTTAGGGTTTCTATGTTAAACCATGCTCCTTAATTTTAATTTATCCGTGTGTCCTGACCAAATGCTACAGCTACAGGGCAGCTGCTGGTTCTTAAGTAAGGTTGTTCTTGGATAAAGCCACTTTTTATGTGTGATTGTGCCATAGACTGTAGAAAAATGGATGGATATAGTCACTGTGGTGTCACTTAGAGCTTTTGGCTTGTGGAAACCCCCATTCTGAGACTATAGCTCCAGCTGTTTAGCCATCTCTGAAGCCAAACTTGGTGATCAAAGGGCATCATATGCTAACAAATTGATAAATCGTGGGGTTAAGTTAAAAAAAAGTTTTTTAAAAATGCCACACTTGATTTAACAGGCTTGAAGTTGGTAATTAAAACATTAGAAACATTTTTCTAATGATATAATGATCTCCTGCTGGTCATTGGAAAACAAAAAATGGTGGCTGGCTTTGATTTTAGACCCAGGGCTAAATTTTTCTTTTATACAGTCTATGGCTTGTGCAACCTGTAGTATAGTCATTTAGTGATGGTTAGGGTTACATCTATAATTGTTTATTTCAGCTGTATTTACAGTGTTAAACATGTTTAATAGTCACATAACTGTCATTTACTCATCGTTGCCATGTTTAACAATATATCAAACATCTGCATCAGGCGATGTTTGATATATGAGGCCATGAGGAGGATCCATCTTATCCTGTTTAGTGGTTTTTGTACTATTTATGAGTTTTTAATTGTTTTGCAGTCTTGGAAATATTTGACCTTTACACTGTATGATACCAAATCCCATATGAGGCAAACTGCTACACTAGATCTGTGGAATTTCAACACAAACACAATTTACATTTTCATGAACATTACATCAAACACATTTTTTGGCATGCAAAAGTTATTACTTTCTTTCTGCTGTGGAAGTGGTTATTTTATCGGATGCTGTGCGAACGTAAGGCCAAAACCTTCTGTTACTGAATGTCTTGCGGGCGACTTTGAAATACTTAAGTCCGAAATGTATGTATACGGTACACTAACAAGGTGATCAATCCTTGCTTGCCTTTAAAGTATTTGGAGTATCCAAAGAGAACATTTCATAGGTGTGTTTTTATTCTATTGTTTCTTTTTTAATCCCATTTCTTTTTACCCAGACACATTATGGACAAGAAGTTACTGCTAATATTTTCTGTCTGATGATGCGACAAAGGCGTCGGGTTTATTTCTTTGTATTGAAAATGGTTATCTGATGTTTTATCTGTATGTTTTTTTTGCAATGGTAACAGTGTTTGAATTAGCTTTTTGGAATCATAAGTGCTTTGTGGCTAAGAATCTGCTTTCCATGATGGACAAGCTTTCCTTCCAAGATTGCCTTCCAACTTTAGCTGAAGTGTTAATCCTGGGCTCGTATGTTTTAGGCTTTACTAACCACTTTAACCGGCCTGTATTGGTGGGCTGCCAGGTGTTCATTGATCTTTTCAAGCTCTTAGGAATTCTATTGTACATTTTGTATAGTCGCTCGCAATGTTTCTTCAAGCGCTTTTGAGTTTATACACATTTTGTAAAATGTTTGAAATTGTGCTTCCTGGGGAAGGTGTTATTTTACTTGAGTTCCAAAAAGCGATTCACTTTCATCATTTATTTCACATGCTTGGGAGTGGTGTTCGGGCGATTAACTCTCAAGTCTATAATGTGGTCCTGTGTTCAGACGATTAACTAACAAAAATATATTTTCTCAGATTATATATAATGTCAGTACATTTGTACCCTCAGGTTGTTTAGTTCAAATGAAAACTGGGGGTGACTAGTTCAAATTAATTGATTCTGGTTGTCAGTTTGTCTTTTAGCTTGATTGATACATTTGCTTTATGCTTTAACATAATTTGGTGCTTTGGTAGATGTCATATGAAAACACAAATCTAAATGAAAAGCATTGTGAAATTATGTTTGACAACAACAGTGCAAAGAGATATTTTGCACCCCAAAAAAGGAAAGATCTGCATCTATATTCCTTGGCTCTTTGCATAATGTTTCTCATACAATAAATCTGAATATGCAAAGCACTTAAAATGCTTGAAGGTAAAATGTCCCCCCACAATAATTTAAGTTTATTAATTGTGTATATGCATCAGTGTACACCTTAAATGTGTTGTAGGTAAATCTCCGCCCTGTTTCAACAAATAGTGAAAATACACTGGGATTTTTTTTTTCCCTTCTTGATGAAAATGACATAAAGCTCCAGTTGGGGATCTGACAATCCTCCTCCTGGTAGTCTTTTACTGATAATATGATGCTGCTTGCCATAGGCCACATACAGCTGCCAGACACTAAGACTTAAGCTGCAGCTAAATCCCCTGACGGTGCTTGTAATGTGGCACACAGTTTTGAAGGAAATGATGACTGCGTTTATAAAAGATCTCGCTATTTAGCAAAGCGTCATCGAGTTTAGAGGAGTGAATGGCGTCGCCTGCACAGGGGCCAACACAATGAAACATGAGTGGCTCCAACATGATGGAGACCTAAAATTACTTTTTTGATGTAAACATGTTGGGTCTACTTCTGTCTGTGTGTATGTGTGTGTGTGATTGGTCTCACAGTTCATTCAGACTTTCTAATGTTACGAATCAATGAAATGGATGTTTGAATTCTTGTCATTCCTGCATGTCAACCACATGTTTTGATTATGTCTCACTTACACACAAGTAGGGCTGCCACGATTAGTCGACTAGTCACGATTACATCGACTATCAAAATCGTCGACGACTGATTTAATAGTCAACGATTATTGTCCCGTTATATTTTAGATAGCAAGGAGTTTATTAAACTTCACCGAAACAATCTGCAAATTTCATTAAAATTTAATAAACTATCATCTTGTCTTTATTTTTAGTTAGCACATACCTTAAAAACTTAAAGCTGTAAGCTAATGATAGTTATATAAGAGCAGATGCATGCTGGTGCAATAAACTGTACGTTTTACGTCCAATGGATGCATGATCTGATTAGTCAACTAATTGCAAAAATAATCGGTGACTAGTCGACTATCAAAATAATCGTTTGTGGCAGCCCTACACACAAGCCAACTTGTATAGCTTTTACTCATCTAGAAACCTTTGATCCACTTGATCGGGTTCTAGTGGGTTCATTTTGATCAAACCTCATCACATGACCATGTTGTAATCTATTTAAGTCAAAACTGTATAGTTAACAAATGTGAAGGTAGATCAACTTTTTGTGTTTAATCTTTACACTTTAGCAAATATGCAAAACTTTCCTGGATGTTTGGGGATACGAATGTATGTTGGTTTTTTTTTCTATTATTATTCTTATAATTATTGTAGTTATACATTGTGGTGTAGAAAATGTATGTATTATAACAGTGTAATGCTGTTAATGGTGACTGTATGTAAAGTGCCAACAAAAGCACTTCATAAGAATTTGGTGATGCAGTTTAACGTGCACCAATTCTCCATGTGCTACAGTTTGTAACACGAACTTTTAGATATTACCATGACTATTATAATTAAATCCCAAGGTTTCACTGGATGTAGCTTGAAAGGCACAGGTACGATTGTTTTAGTCCTTTTCAATAAAGTTACAGTAAGGAAAACTGGTGATTTGCTTAATTTATTTATTTTTTTGAGTCACATCAAAGCCCGTAATGGTGAATAAATTAGGATTTTATGTGTTGTGAGTCTCTTTTGCAGTAGATCTGTTTAATCCATCAGTGCAGCTCAAATCTGATGCAAATCTTCCATAAAGTGGATCGCCGTCTCTTCCATTTAACACCTGTCCTGTGGATAAAATACAAGCCACTCTCAATTAACTCTGATCTCGCTGGCAGTTGAACTACAATTAGTGTTTCTAATTGCGCTGATTTGTGTCAGAGCTTTTGTTTTCTTCCTGCTCAAAGCATCGCTTCCCTTTGTTCTGGAGAAATTCCCATGCCCTCCAGGCGAAAGACAGAAGTGGCATCATCTGACAACTGAGTAGCGAGATTGCTTTTAAAAACTGCACTTTCATTTGCCTATGTGTGCAACAGCGCTGTGTGAAATCTTTTGGGAAAAGCACTTGTGGTGTTTACCAGCCGATGGCTTTTGTAGGAGGCGGTTCGCTTCCCTGTCTCCCCGCCACGTAGCTGGTTAAAACGCAACCTCTCCCTCGTCACCTCAGCGTGACGGTGCATCTCCAGCAGTGCACCAGGTGCCAGTCCACACCACCACAGCACCACCTTGGAGCTGACAATAGAAGCTGCATACAGTGAAAATGACCGACACCAGTAATATAATAAATGTTACAGGTGAAATGGCAGCACAGTCACCTGTGTTGGCTTAGTCACTGAATTTTGAGACTAAATTTAAGCTGGTTCTTGTCATTTAGACACCACCATAATGTCATAATGTTAAATTATAGGTAACAGAAGTGGCATCATACATAATAAATCTATTTTTTTCTTTAATGTTTATTAACTTGTAGTCTGCCTTGACAGACACTGGACATAAAAAAGCATGTAATTGGGGCTTTATGTAGGTGTCACCTGTTGTATTTATAAGCTAATTGGCATGCTCATTGTCATCCTTACACATTCATCAACAGATTGAATTTCCCTGATCCCATCTTTTGTGCGGTGGTGGCACGTGTCATCTGAGTGCCTACTAGACTGAAGCCCCATTAGTTCATTGTGCGTTATATCATATGGCTGTAATTTGAGGAAATATCTAACAAACGTGTTATGCAAGATTCTGTGGGCGCAGGAGTGCCCTCAGCGTGCCAGAAAGGGCCACCCACAGGTCACCTGCGCACCCCTTTAAATATGGATGGGCGTCAAAGCGGGGATCAGTGTCACCCTGCACGCGTCTGTGAATGGAAGTGCCTCGGGCAATCATGGAGAAACTTATATGACAAGAAATTCAGCAGATGGATGAGGTGTTTTAGGGGAAAAACCAGACCTATTTGGGCAGCTGGCTCGAACGAGCTGCGTGATCGGGGGCCAGATGTCAAGGTCAACCCCCTTCAGCTCCCAAGAGAATCAGACCCCACCCGTTCATCAAGCGTAGGACCCTTTGTTGCTGAATAGTTAACAATTTGCATAGGTGCTTGAGATAAATCAGGTGTCAAACACGCTGCGGATCCCTGTGTTGAGCATTGTGTTGATGGCATTGTCTTCCTCTGATAGCTGCCACGCGTCTGGTATCAGGTGAACAAAGCCAGATGACAACCAGAGCAAAGAGAAACCTATCAACAGTGAAGCGCAAGCAAGTGTGAAGGTGAAGGAAGAGAACTCATTTAACTGCAAAAGTGATGCGGTGACATTAAATAAACATATATTAACCTCTAATATAATGGACACTTTTAAACTGAACTTCCCAAAGAAGAATCAACAGAAACTTTAAAATCCTTCATTCCCACAGCTATTAGGTCAGTTAACACTAACCATTTTAATTTAGGTTAATATTTTTATAATTGTTATGATTTATTGTTGTTTGCTTTTAA